GCGCCGTTGCCAGGGTCTTCCCCTCCCCCGGGGCGGTTGCTAGGGAAAGTGAGCGCTCCCGGGGCGGGGGCGCGCGCTGGCTCTTAAAGGGGCCCTGCCTGGCGGTGACAGCGGGGCCCTGAGACTTGGAGACGTTGGGCTTGTGCGAAGCCTCGTGAGGCGCTGGGCTGTCTTGCAAGTTCTCTCCTCCTCGCCATCTTCCTGGCCCCCCGACAGCGTACACCTCCTCCCCTCCTTTAACCGCAGTGCAAGTCTCTCGCCAAGCCTCTGACCCGAAGGGCGACGGAGCCCTTAATTGCAACTCTGCAGCCTCTACGCATCCTCCCAGAGCCAAGTTTGCAAACAGTTAAATATGATACAGCAGAAATGCATTTGCTGCTGTCTGGCCAGGCCCTGCGGGAATTTTTTAAAAACACTGATCCCCCTTTTCCTTATGCATTATTTATGTATTCGTGGGAGTGTGGTTTTGTAAGTAGTTCAGATAAATTAAAACAAAAAACCCCACCGCAGGAAGGGAAGGGTGAGCAATCGTGGGGCCGAGTCATGGGCGGCGGCACCTGCCTCCTCCACCCTGGAGGCCCCGTGAAGGACGATGTGGCAGTAAGGGGAAGCCAGGGTGGCCGCACCCCGGATTGGGCCCCCCACGCGGGTCATCCTTGGGTCACTCGACAGAACCCGCCCTGGCAGTCATATTTATGTGTTTTCTGATTCCCAGGCCCCCTGGTCGCGTCACTCTCCCGCCGCCTGCAGTTCCTCTGCGGGTTCCGCCATTGCTCACGCGGAGACCAGACCCCAGCCTCTTATCTGGGGAGGGGGTGGAGCATCTTGGGCTGTCCCGGAATGGACACAGAGTAGCCCTGCGCCACAAAACGCTTCCTTTCGTTTATTTTGAAATGATTTCAACTTTATTTTTCATTACACCATTAGTCTTGTTAAAGAAAGAAAATACAGATAAAGGGGGGAAAAAAGCTCAACTGTTCGTAATCCCCTCCTCGAGAGAAAACCATTGTTTATGTCTTGACGACTCACTTTCCAGCCTCTGTGCTAGGCCTGTATAAACACATACACACACACGCACACGCACACACCACATATATGTTCTTTTTTTTTTTTTTAATGGGATTGCATTATTTACACTGTTAGGGAACCCGCTCTTCTCTCTTAACGTTATAAAGCAGACGTCCCTCTGTGTCACTAGGTAGGAACCTCCCTCGCATGTTAGTTGCTGTGGTGGGGGCAGATGGGGGTGGGGAGGAGTCGAGGTGTGTTAGGATCACTGCTGTCTCTTGCTTACGTTACCTGTTTGTTAGAAAAAGGGGCTTTCTCGTTTCCACGCTGCAATGCCAATTCTTGTGGTTTCAAAACAACCCTATTGAAATGTCATCTTTGCTTTCCTGCATCCCTGGTGACTCATCCATTTATTACCTTGGGAGAAATCCCTGCTTATCCCCACCCCCACCCCCCAGGTAGCACTATGCTACCTAACAAACAACCATTTGAGGCCAGTGCTAGGAGAGCTTTGGTGCACAAGTGGATGGTGTGTGCCTCTGGAGAGACGGATGGGTGGGTGAGACACGCAACTGTGGGTATGAGTGTGTGTGTGTGTGTGTGTGTGTGTGTGTTCAGCTGCAGGAGGCAGGCAGCAGGATGTAGTGGGTAAAGCGCTGATCCGCTTGTTACTTCCAGAAGCATCTGTGAGTCCTTGCGAAGACCCAGGCTTTGGGTTCAACCCGAAACAAAGGTTCCCCAGGCTTGAGGAGATCTTAGTTATCAGGAGACTAAGCGTCTACCCCTCGGTGTGACCAGTGCAAGAATAAAGCTGTATTAGTTTCCTGTTTCTTCTTTCTTTCTTTTTTTTCATTGTTGTGACCATTGTGCATCTTGACGCCTTCCAAGCCAGGAGCTCATGCATCAGCATCGCGTCTGACCGTCTTCTGTGTGACCCACAGGACTCTCATTAGCTGCTAATTTTTAGAAAGGGATTGCCAGCCCCTTTCTTCCTAGACTTAGGCAGGAATCTCTGCTGAAACCTGTCCCCCACGGGTGACCCTGCTGGTGTTTGAAATGCCAGTGGGATAACTCCCAGCCTCACAGCAACAAGCAAGCCTCCGTGGTGTAATAAACTGACAGACGGAGACAGACAGGTGGTGGCCACTCGACTTAACCTCCTGTAAATCATTACCAATATCTCCTGTTACCTCTTCAGGCGTGTTACTTCTGTGCAGAGCAATTTCAATAGTCATCTCAAGTTCTCCCTGTCCATTGGTTGGCAGCTTCAACATCGTATCACTTAGCTGACTGCAGAATAGACATTCATGTCCTTACCTAGCAGCACTCACTGTGCTGTGGACCTTGACGCCAGCACAGGTCTCTGTCTTCTTTTGTTCTCTGTCCCACGCAATACTTCACTTGCTTAGGAACCTCTGTGCCTCAGTCTTTCTGGCTTTACCTTGTCTGTTCCACCCAGCCACTCTCGACTCCACGATACGATCTTCTAACGCTGCCCTGGTTTCCTATTTCTGCTGTAACAAATCACCACAAATTTAGATGCTTAAAACAAATGAAGGTGTTAAAGTGCTGAGAGTCAAAAGTCCAAGATCAGGGTCACCGGGCTAAAGGTATAAGGAGCTCTGGTGGCGTAGTGTGTAAGGCATCTGACTGCTAATCAGAAGGTTGGTGGTTCAAACCCATCAGCCAGTCTGTAGAAGGAAGACTGGGTAATCTACTTCTGTAAAGATTAACCGCCTCGGAAACCCAAAGGGGGTCTCTGTGAGTTAGAATTGACTTGATCACAGTGAGTTTGGTTTCTTGGTTTGGGCTGAAGGTGTGGGCAGGACTAGCTCCCTCGGGAGGTTCTTGAAGAGAAGCCATCCCTTGTTTCTTGTAGCTTCTAGGGCTGCTGGCATTCCTTGGCTCATGCCTGTATCACCCCAGTCTCTGCGTCTGTTATCACATCAGTTTGCTCTGACTGACTTCCTGCATCCTTATATAAGGATCCTTGTGCTCACACGGGACCCACTGGATGATCCAGAAAAATCTTCCCACCTCAAGAACCGTAACCTAATCGTGTCAGCAAAATCCCCTCTACCATGTAAAGTGATGCATCCACAGCTTCCAGGATTAGGACGTGGACATCTTTGGGGGCCTGCACTCTACTCGGCAGTTAGGTAAGGAATTAGGCCACTGCCCAGAGCAGGAGACACTGGGAGGGCTTCTCAGAGACATTTGATTTGGGACTTGAAAGATGAGTAGGAGTTTGTCTTTGAGTGAAGAACGAAGCAGACACCCCAGCAGAAGGATCAGCTTGATGAGAACTTCACAGCATGCATGTACGTGTAATTTAGGATTGATAGACGGTGGGGTCCCACCACGCTCGGTGGCTCGTGTGATTTGGGACTGATAGACGGTGGGGTCCCACCACGCTCGGTGGCTCGTGTGATTT